TTTGGCATTTTTGTCTACCTATCGAGTCCTTTCCAAGAACCTAGGATAGGCAGATGTGGATGTTTGATGGTGTTACAGATTTTGTCGTAGGATGTAAGCTGTTCCGAGTAAAGCTGCCATTTGCAATTGACTGATGGTGAATTTGTCACCACTTGAACACCATCAGCCTTGACAAATTCACCAACAGTCAATTGCAAAAGGCAGCTTTACTCGGAACAGCTTACATCCTGCGACGATATTTGTAACACCATCAAACATCCACATCTGTTTATCCCAGGTCCTCAGAAAGAACTTGATTGGTCACAAAAATGCCAAATCCAGTCTGAACATCTGACTGACTGTATGATGAACCATAATAATATTGATGAATAGGAAGAAGAAGATCAGCAGGGCTGGGAGAGATAGTGAGGATACAAGATCTCAGAGAGTTCCATCTACCAAATGAGGTGTCAGAAGAATAATTTGGGGTTCCCGTTCGAGCCGGGCTTGTGCAAGAATAAAGAAAAAATGAGATCCAGACAGCTGTGAGGAAAGAAGAAATATGTATTCTTAAAAGCAAGGAGTTTGACTTTAGGGACAGCTGCAGAGAAATGGGGTACAGTGGCAGACTTTTATAGGGGAGCTACTCCTGGTGTGGAAGTGTCTAGCTGCTAATTCTAGGGCAGGGGTCTTCAAACTTGGCCCTTTTATGACTTATGGACTTCAACTCCCAGAATTCCTCAGCCAGGCAAGCTGGCTAAGGAATTCTGGGAGTTGAAGTCCACAAGTCATAAAAGAGCCAAGTTTGAAGACCCCTGTTCTAGGGTGACACTTGAGGGGGCGTGTACATATATGTGTAGGTATGTCTATGATGTTTATTCTTGTGAACATGCAGTTCCACTGGGAGACCTAATTTAATTAACTATTTGTGTCACTTTATCCTTTGATATGTGGATTAGGTCTGGATAACTTATTTGGGGGTTTGAGAAAGTAAAGGATTTTCCCCCGTTTGCTATTTTTCCTTAATTAATTTAGTTTCAGCTTGACGGTCAATTATCTAGTGGAGACGTTGATTCTCAATCCATTGTGGATTCTGTTAATGTTTTAAGGGAAGATGGAAACAGTATAAATAATAAAATAGATTTTGATATAAAACTTCTCACAGAGGTAGGTCATGGGAATGACAGCAAAGCGGTGCTATCTCTCCAGCCTGTCAGAATTACACTATTTCTGAAAGTGGAACGTGCTAATGCATTCTCCCGTGCAATAGCCAAAAAAGGAAATTAAGTTTTGCTTACTACAGACTTATTCCAAAACTGGAGAAGTGCTATATCTAGCCTTTCATAGGAAGTCAAAATATTTTGCTTTCTAACTATTACTGTATACTGTATGGGTTATATCTTTCCACATTTTAAGTTTAGATAAGATAAAGAACAGAGTAATGCAGGATAATTCACTTTAATATTCGACCAGTGCTAAAACGATTGGTCTTACACACTTCCTGAACAGAAGATTGTAGTTGTGAGTGTGAATACAATAGGGAATTTGTCCTATTTTTTTGTGAGTTGTGAATTGTGACTTATGTGCTTATGGTTTTTAAATAGCCTCTGGACTAGGACTAGGGCTCTGGACTAGAAACACAAAAACAGAAGTTACATTTGTCTATGTCCAGAGGTTCAAAGAGGAACTATAAAGAGGAGATGCTCAAAAATAAATATTTGATGGAGAAAATAGCATAGGCAAAGTCAGCAGATAATTAAAAACAACAACAACAGGATAGCGTGTGAGCAAATGATTCTTGCAGAATGGGAAAAATATATATTTTTCTTCAAATGTGGGGAGGGTTTCTACTGGAGGACTATACCACTTGGTGCATTCTCCGACTTGCATTGAGGAATACTGCTTCTTTAAATATCAGAGTTCCTGCTTGAAAACTAATCTACATATTGGTGTTGAGTGGAACCCCCCCCCCTTCATTGCTGTTATTATGGTTCTTGGTAGTCATTATTTTTCTGTATATCCAATTGTTGAAAAAAACGCTTTCATCATGGTTCAGTCCAAGCCGGGGACAAACAACATGGCGACTGCTTTAGAAAAAAGGTTGCAGTTTATTGAAGAGGAGAGCCAGACAGAAAGATGGCTCTAGCAGAAAAGAGAGCGAACACATGTAGGGAGTGGGTTTTTATACCCTCTGGAGCCTTTTCTTTGTGGCGTTGTTCCTGTGGCATGGACTTTGACCTGAGTCTGAGTGTGCCCTTTGATATCTCTGTGTTAATCCTATTATGTCCTGTCCTAAAGTTTGGGTGGGGTATGTAGATTTTAGGTGTCTTTGTCTTCCTAAGCTTCTAGCTGGAGGCCGCCAACCTTCCTGAATGGATTATTTACATCTGCATTTCTATAGAGCTGATTTCTGCTTGGGGGGGGAGAGACCTGGGGGCTATTAAGAAAAACTGGGCATGCTTTTCTGCCTCTTTAAGATCCTTTGAGGAAATATATTTTCCTGCCCTTTTAATATTTCCTTCTCTGGGGGGCTGACTTCCCACAATATTTTCATTGTGTGTACAGTATGTTTTAGTATTATGTGGAGGTTTTCTTTTCAGTTTATTATCTGTTTTTGTTACTGTGCACTACCCAGAGTTGTTGTTGTTGTGTTGCTAAGTCATACTTGACTTTTTGTGAGCCAATGGACCATAGCAAGCCAGGCTCCCCATCCTCCACTGTCTCCTACAAGTTTCCCAAATTCATGTTCATTGCATCAGTGACACTATCTACCCATCTCGTCCTCTCCCGGCCCTTCTCCTTTTGCCTTCAATCTTTCCCAACATCAGGAACTTTTCCAATGAGTTCTCTCTTCTCATTTGGTGGCCAAAATAATTGAGCGTCAGCTTCAATATCTGTCTTTCCAAAGGACAGTGAGGGTTGATTTCCTTCAGGATTGATGGATTTGATCTCCTTGCAGTCCAAAGGACTCTCAAGAATCTTCTCCCACACCACAGTTCAAAAGAACCAATTCTAATGTTTTGGGTTGGATGACTTCCTAATTTTAGTAAGTAAATGAATCAATATCTCCCATAGAGAATGGCATTATCTTTCCCAAATATCAAAATTATTGCATTAACTTACACAAGATTTTTTTTTCATTGAACAAGCTCACAAAATTATTTGACCATGTATTTTGCCTTTGGTTTTAAGACAGATGAGGATGGATTAAATTTGACAGGTTGCTATGAATCCACTCTGCCTGGTAGTTTCTGAGCGATTTTATTTATTTATTTATTTATTTATTTTGATTTATATCCCGCCCTTCTCCCGACGGGACTCAGGGCGGCTCACAACATATTTAAAAAACATAGACATATTTACAACCCTCACCAGATAAAACCAAATTAAACCAATATTTAAAGTTGTGCAGTTAAAATTAGTCTTAAAAAACCCGATTTAAAATCCTCCCTAGGCCAGGCCCGCTTGCTGAAAAAGCCATGTCTTGAGGGCGCGGCGGAAAGTAAGGAGATCCGGAATCATCCGGATCTCGGGGGGTAGTTCGTTCCAGATCCTAGCGATGTAAAGAAATGTAAATGTAAAGTCCATCTTTGAACTCAGCCTTGTCTTTAGATATACATTTATCAAGCAACAACCAGTTTGATATTATGAAGGATGACATTGTTTGTTTAAAAAATGAAAAAACTGGCATTTTTACAATGGTTGGACTTTAAGTGACAATTTCCAATGAGGACTGTGGTGATAAAAGAATAAGGACCACATAATAAAGCAGCTCTAGGCAGGGAGCTATTTAGGCTAGCAAAGTCTCCATTCTCACATGATCTGTGCTGGCTGGGAATTCTGGGAGTTGAAGTCCAGAACACTTAAAGTTCCTAAGATTGAGAAACCCTGCTCTGTCTTCCAGGAAATCAGCCAGCCCCAATCTTGCCCTCTCCTTCCAAAGTCTGCAGACTTTAACTTTACTGCAGGGCTTTTCAACCTTTTCACCCATTGTACCACTTTTAGGATATGGCAATATCCGAGTACCACCAGTCGCCTAGCAAGGTGTCAAAAACTTGATGACCCCCCCAAAAAAGGAAAAAGGTGATGAAGTCCAGGTAATCCTCAACTTACAACAATTCGCTTAGTGACTGTTCGAAGTTACAATGGCACTGAAAAAAGTGTCCCCCAAGCCACAGCCGAGCAAGACACCTGCCTGCCCACCGGGCGGTGCTCTTCCTCCTGTCCGAGGTTTTCATTGTTGTGAGCATTTCTGTTGAGGATTGGCAGCGGGGATGGGGTGGGGGTGTTTGGTTTTTATTCCCCCCGTCTGCTGGGTGGTTGCAGCAGGTTTTGATCACTTCACATGACCCTGGGACACTGTGACCGTCATAAATATGAACCAGTTGCCAAGCATCTGAATGTAAATCACAAGACCCTGGAGATGCTGCAACATTCCAGCTGATCGGTGCTTCTTCTGGGCTCAGCAGAAGCACCAGGATCAGTGCTGAGCTCCAGCTGGAGCCTGGCGCTGATCCTGGCCCTTCCGCTGAGCCCTGACAGCCCTGCAGCTCCAGCCATCTCTCGCTCAGGCTTGTGCGGTGCTGCCACCAGTTCAGCTCATTCCCCTCCCCCACTACCACTTTTCTAGGATGGTCGCGTACCACCTACCAGGTGCCAATGTACCACAGGTGGTACCCGTACCACTGGTTGAAAAGCCCTGCTTTACTGAACACCTACAAGGATTGTAATGTATTGGCCACAACTGTTTTAAATCACTTGCTTAATGTCTGACTTACATTGCTGTATTGTTTAACAGTTGCCGTTACTGAAAGCCAGACTGGCTGTCTCCAAGCTGATAATCAGGTTTGGGGCGGGAAACTGTTACTTTAAACCTATTGGTTGCCACCTAGAGGCTACCTGTATAAATAGCTGTGCAGCAGCCTTTAGGGCTGCTTCTGTTCTGAGTTAATAAACTTGTTGCTTGTTTCAACACTCTGCCTCATTCAATGCCTAAAGAACCGAAGATATAACAAGGATAATAAGCCTTTATTTCTAAACCGAGAAAATTGTCAAGATTCCAAGTTTTAGATGACAGACCTGTGCTGATACAGTGGCATTTCTTTAATCAAACTGAATGTGGCTATGACTTAGGAGTCTGTGTGCAACGGAGTTAAAATTGCTAATAATTGGGGAGAGGGGTACAATGTGCAGCTTTGGTAAGAAACAGCTCCTCTGAAGACCATGGCAGGTGATAATATAGATAGGAGCTAGTAATGGGTGAATTTATAGCAGCCTTTGCTCATTTGGTGTTCTCCAGAGCTATTGGGATTATAATTGTCTAGAATTTTAGGATGCTACACGATGCAGACTCAGCACATAAAGAGGAACCCGGGTCTAGAAGGCTGGTCTAGAAGATACCGGGTCATTTCTGCTCATGGTTAGTTATCGCTCCTGTGACTCTGGGGTGTAGAGGATTAAAGGCTGGCTGTTCTTGCCCTTGTCGTGCCAGCAGACGTCAAAGAAGGGGTAGACCGTGCCTGTAAAGCGCTCATGGAAAGCAAAGATCTGGACCAGATTGTCTTCGTCACTGGCATCGTAGAAGGCCAGGAGGCCATCGTCGAAGCTGAGGTAGATACCAATTCGGCTGGGCTTTCCCTCCAGCTTCAGAGACCGGGGTTCCTTGTGCTCCACATAGGCCTCGTAGGTTTTCCCTTCCTTGCAACCCACCAGCCAGAAGCCATTGGACGGGGTGGCGTGCAGGCGGCCCTTGCGCCCGGTTTCAGCTGAGATGAGGCCCAGAGCCCAACGGGGCTTGTCATCTACTGTCACCTCCCAGTAGTGTTCTCCTTGTGAGAAGCTCTGGCGTGAGACCAGGCAGTTGGACTTGTCAAACCGTTGTGGGTCATCCGAGCTCACGGCTTGCTTATGTTCAACACATTCCACTCTTTTCCCATCTTCAGACACCACTAGGTTGGCTTGCGCGGTGGCTGGGTCCAAGGTCAGGTTTTCCAAAGCTTCAGGAGGAGAGAAAGACGTTAAGATTAGTCACAATGTGAAAATAAGGATTTTTTTCTTTCTTTCTTTTCTTTCATGGAGAGGATTTAATCAGTGGATAGGCTTTCTGTACTTAGAAAAGAAATAGCGTAAGAGTGAACATAATTATTCATTCTGAATTATTCATTCCTTAACTTGCAAAGATATTTAGAATAGAATAACAGAGTTGGAAGGGACCTTGGAGGTCTTCTAGTCCAATACCCCCGCTCAGGCAGGAAACCCTATACTATAGGGTCTTCTGCCTGAGCAGGGGGTTGGACTAGATCAGGGCTTTTCAACCAGTGGTATGGGTACCACCTGTGATACATTGGCACCTGGTAGGTGGTACGCGACCATCCCAGAAAAGTGGTAGTGGGGGAGGGGAATGAGCTGAACTGGTGGCAGAACTGCACAAGCCTGAGCGAGAGATGGCTGAAGCTGCAGGGCTGTCAGGGCTCAGCGGAAGCGCCAGGATCAGTGCTTCTTCGGGACTGTCAGGGCTCAGCGGAAGCGCCAGGATCAGCGCCAGGCTCCAGCTGGAGCTCTGCGCTGATCCTGGCGCTTCTGCTGAGCCCAGAAGAAGCGCCGATCAGCTGGAATGTTGCAGCATCTCCAGGGTCTTGTGATTTACATTCAGATGCTTGGCAACTGATTCATATTTATGACGGTCACAGTGTCCCAGGGTCATGTGAAGTGACCAAAACCTGCTGCAACCACCCAGCAGAGGGGGGGGGAATAAAAACCAAACACCCCCCACCCCACCCCTGCTGCCAATCCTCAACAGAAATGCTCACAACAATGAAAACCTTGGACAGGAGGAAGAGCGCCGCTGGGTGGGCAGGCAGGTGTCTTGCTCGGCTGTGGCTTGGGGGGCAGTTTTTTCAGTGCCATTGTAACTTTGAACAGTCACTAAGCGAACTGTTGTAAGTCAAGGACTACCTGTACTTCACACTTTTTTCTTCTTCTTTTTTTTGGTCATCAGGTTTTTGACACATTGCTAGGCAACTGGTGGTACTCGGATATTGTCATATCCTAAAAGTGGTACAATGGGTGAAAAGATTGAAAAGCCCTGGCCTAGATGACCTCCAAGGTCCCTTCCAACATTATTATTAGTAGCAGTAGTAGTAGTAGTAGTAGTAGTAGTAGTAGTAATAGTAGTATTTTAGAAAGGACAGAGTTGAGTAACACAGAAAGTGAGTGTAGGTAATCCTTGATTTACAACCGGGCATTTAGTGACCGTTTGAAGTTACAACGGCATTGAAAAAGGTGTCTTATAACTATTTTTCATCCGACTGTTGCTGTATCCCTGCAGTCACGTGATCAAAATTCAGGTGTTTGACAACTGATTCGTATTTATGACGGTTGCAGTGTTCCGGGGTCATGTGGTCACCTTTTGCGAACTCCGGGCAAGCAGAGTCAAGGACGAAGCCAGATTCACTTAACAACCACATTACTAGCTTAACAACTGCAGTGATTCACTTAACAACTATGACAAGAAAGGTCATAAAATGGGGCAAAACTCACTTAATCTCTCTCTTGCTTAGCAACAGAAATGTTGGGCTTGGTTGCAGGTATACATCAAGGACTACCTGTACACCTTATCTTTAGAAAATCCACCTTCTCTTTAGTTCTCAGAGCGGAGGTGTTACCTTATGTCGTGTCATGTGACAGGCTGCAATAACCTCTACTGTAATGGCAATATATATAGACTCGGGTGAGGAAAATTGGAGCTCCTACATCAACTCTTACATTCAAAAGGATACAAAGAGCCGACTTCTTTTAAAACACACCCCCACACATGCTGTCAACGCTGCTAACATTGGATGTTCTTGCTTTGACAACCTATGGAGATGCAGCCTTTTTCTTTCTTATGCTTTACTCTTAGAATTAGATGATACTGGAGGAGGAGGAAGAATGTGATGGGAATTAGTTAGACATAACAATATTGTAATAGTGTATGAATTCAGGGCTTTTGAAATAAGAGATGATAAGAAATGGCGGGTTGGAGTAAAGGAGGGAAAGCCTACATTTCAAACTAATTGGAGAATTTGATTTATGACTGTTAATCAGAGGAGGGAATTGTGGTTGATCCTATGTGCTAAGGGGAGGGGAATCCAGATTTTGGCTTCGCTTATGTATGTGCCGATGCTATCTATGCTGCTCGAATAAAGATTCTTTAAGGTAAACAATGCCTCCAAGTTCTTTGAAGAGTTTCATCTGTCGGAACCATGACACATGCAGCCTTATCCCGCAAGTGGTGGTTTCTACCTGGCATTATTGCACGGAACATCTTCCTCCATACTTGAAACTTAAACTCATCAGAAATTATGGGGAGCTGAATGTCCATGCGGGCAACGGGTGGAGATTCCCCCAGGATCTTCTGCAATCTATAGGGAGAAGGAAAGGAGAAGACACTTTATCACAGCCTGGGGGGGGAATGAGGATTCCCCCTACTTTTCTTTACATTTCCCTCTTATTAAAAATGATAACATTTAACAATAGTTAATTGTTTATTAAAACAAGGTTCCCAAACAAAGTGCCCATCAGCACATATTGGAAGACAAGCCCCACATGTTGGGGAAATTGAGGCCACTTTTAATCCAACGATCTGCAGAGAACAGGGTGAGGTTCAGAAAAGTTGGATTTATTCTTATATATATTATATATATTATTATATATATTATTCTCCAAGGCGCCTGAAGGCAGGACGAGAAGCAATGGGTGGAAACTGATCAAGGAGAGAAGCAACTTAGAACTAAGGAGAAACTTCCTGACAGTTAGAACAATTAACCAATGGAACAACCTGCTTCCAGAAGTGGTGAATGCTCCAACACTGGAAGTTTTTAAGAAGAGACTGGACAGCCGTTTGTCTGAAATGGTGTAGGGTTCCTGCCTGGGCAGGGGGTTGGACTCGATGACCTCCAAGGTCCCTTCCAACTTTATTATTATTATTATTATTACAGTATGGAATGATTAGACAAAGATATATATCAAGGATGATCCACTACGTTCAATGTTTTTTAATTTCTTTTTTCCTTTTGTACTTAATAAAATTTATTTTAAAAAAAGAAAGAAAGAAAAGTTGGATGATGGTCATAAAGAAATCGTTCTCAAAGTGCAGAGCAAAAATGGGACAGCCTGTTTACAAAATATCAGCCGAGCTAAAGAGACTAAAGGTTTGCTGTACAAGTAGTGCTCAGTTTACAACCATTCATTTAGTGACTGTTCAAATGGCACTGAAAAACATGACGTTTTTCACACTTACAACTGTTACAGCACCCCCATGGTGACATGATCAAAATTTAGACACTTGTCAACTAGTTCATACTTATGATGATTGCAGTTGTCCTGGAATCACGTAATCCTCTTTTGTGATGCTCTGATAAGCAAGGTCAACAGGAAAGCCAAATTCACTTCAACAACAACAACAACAACAACAACAACAACAACAACAACAACAACAATAATAATAATAATAATAATAATAATAATAATAATAATAATAATAATAATAATAATAATAATAAAGTTGGAAGGGACCTTGGAGGTCATCTAGTCCAACCCCCTGCTCAGGCAGGAAACCCTATCCCATTTCGGACAAATGGCTGTTCAGTCTCTTCTTAAAAACTTCCAGTGTTGAAGCATTCACTGCTTCTGGAGGCAGGTTGTTCCATTGGTTAATTGTTCTAACTGTCAGGAAATTTCTCCTTAGTTCTAGGTTGCTTCTCTCCTTGATTAGTTTCCATCCGTTGCTTCTTGTCCTCCCTTCAGGCGCTTTGGAGAATAGCTTGACTCCCTCTTCTTTGGGGCAGCCCCTGAGATATTGGAACACTGCTATCATGTCCCCCCTCGTCCTTCTCTTCATTAAACTAGACATACCCAATTCCAGCAGCTGTTCCTTGTATGTTTTGGCCTCCAGTCCCCTAATCATCTTTGTTGCTCTTCTCTGTACTCTTTCTAGAGTCCCAACATCTTTTTTACATCGTGGTGACCAAAACTGGATGCAGTATTCCAAGTGTGGCCTTACCAAGGCATTGTAAAGTGGTATTAATACTTCACGTGATCTTGATTCTATCTCTCTGTTAATGCTGCCTAGCACTGTGTTGGCCTTTTTGGCAGCTGCAGCACACTGCTGGCTATGTTACTAACTTAACAACTGCAGTGATTCACTTAATAACTGTAGCAGGAATGGTTGTAAAACGGGGCAGAATTCACTTCACAACTTTCTCACTTAGCAACAGAAATTTGGGTAGTCAAGGACTACCTGTAGTACAATTAATAATTAGAGAAGAATCTGTGAAATCGGAAAGGATGAAGATAGAATCAAGGAGAGATAGATGGAAACTGAGTGGGCTCCAGGGAAATGGAGCAACAGCTGAACAGGAAAGTGGGAAATGGAATGGAATATCCCAAAAGAAGATATACAAGGCTGAGTAGCTAATGCCACATGTCACCGCAAAATAATGAATTAGAATAGAATAGAGCTGGAAGGGACCTTGGAGGTCTTCTAGTCCAGCCCCCTGCTCAAGCAGGAGAACCTATACCATTTCAGACAAGTGACTGTCCAGTTTCTTCTTAAAAACCTTCCAGTGATGGAGTGCCCAAATAAAATTGCCAAATAAAAAATTGTAAGACAAATCAAACTCTGGGAGTTTGATTTGTGTTATAATGTTGTATGTGTGCTCTAATTCTGTATTATAATTTGTGTTATAATTTTGCATTTGTATTATAATTTCTCAAATTAAGGAGAGTAAAACATACTCTCTGCATTTATTTAGCTTAACATTAAGGAACGTTGGAGTTTTTGGTAAACGGTGTCCTTCATTCAGAACATCGTCCTCTTGTTTCTCTCATACACAGACAAACCTAGTTAATTGTTGAGATTCTAGTAAAGCTTGTTTCTGTAGTTTCAGGACTACCGGTAGTCCTCGACTTATGACCACAACTGAGCCCAAAATTTCTGTTGTGAAGCGAGACATTTTTTAAGTAAGTTTTGCCCCTTTTATGACTTTCCTTGCCTCAGTTGCTAAGTGAATGAATCACTGCAATTAATAAGTTAGTAACCCAGTTGTTAAGTGAATCCGGCTTCCCCATTGACTTTGCTTGTCACAAGGTCGCAAAAGGTGATCACGTGACCCTGGGACATAGCAACCATCATAAATATGAACAGTTGCCAAGCTTCTGGATTTTGATCACATGATCATGCGGATGCTGCAATGGTCGTAAGTGTGAAAAACAGTCATAAGTCACTTTTTTCAGTGCTATTGTAACTTTGAAGGGCCACTAAATGAACTGTTGTAAGTCGAGGACTACCTGTATGCAGGAACTCTGTGTTCAAGGCCTTTAAATATGCAAGTGAAGTACAGGTTGCCTTAAGAGCACTTTCAACAAGTAACACTGAAGTCAAAATGACAATGTGTCGTCGCTGCACGAAGGATGAAATTGTGTACACCTACCCTAATGTCTGTTGCAAGTACATAGGCAGCGTCAGTTGTGTCATATTGTCACATATGTGTCATCATTTGTCCCTCTCATCCTCTAAGAAAGTGGTCCAGGTAAGGAGGAACTTAAGTGAGGTGTCCTTGGTGCCTTCTGGGCTTGGTTGTTTTCCTTTAGATGTTGCATTACCAAACTGGGTAACATCTTCAGTACTAGTAGGGAGAGGCAGAAAGAGCGGAGAGAGCAAACCCTGCCTCCTATTAGCACTGATGGTGTTACCTAGTTTGAGTAACGAAACATCTACAAGAAACCAGCCAAGCTCAGAGAGCACCAAGGACACCTCATATTAGAGATACTTAAGATGTGCACAACTCAGAGAAGAGGATTGGCTGATGGGTTGTTTTAAATGGACAGTTACTCACCTGCTGGCAACCAGACAATATTTCTGTGGAGGAAAAAAGAAAGCAGAAATTATAAGGTGACCAACTTTTTTACAATGAGAAGGAGGACACAAATAAATTGAAGAAAAAAAAGTGAGTCTAATGCGTGCGTGTGTGCCGTGTCATGTTTCGGTAAGAAGTAAATAAAGCCACTTGCGTGCAGCGCACTCTTGCACGTGGCGCACTCTCTCAAAACAATTCTGTGCGGAGCGCATGCGTCTCATAATCGTGTCTTGCCGCACTGTACCGAGCCTTGACGAATCGTCATGTCAAATACAAATATGTCACATCACACGCAACGGATCGGATCGGCATCGATCGAATACGGAGATTTACAGATTAATCTTCAAATATCAAAAAGGAGGACATGTAGGAGGACATCTTTCAAGAGAGGACAGAACTTACAAAAGGAGGACTGTCCTCCCTAAAGGAGGACAGTTGGTCACCTTAGAAATTAGCAAATTTCAGGTAGTTTTCCCTCAGGGGAGATTTTAACAATTGAAGCCCTCCAGTTGTCGGATTGTGACTTCCAGGATTCCTACCAGCCTGGTTAGGCAATTAAAAAAATAAAATACAGATATAGGTAGTCCTCGATTTACGGCCACAATTGAGCCCAAAATTTCTAATTTTTTAAGTGAGACATTTATCAAATGACTTTTGCCCCATCTTATCACCTTTCTTGCCCTGATTGTTAAGTGAATCACTGTCAAGTTTGTAACATGGCTGTTAAGTGAAGCCGGCTTCCCCATTAACTCGGCTTGTCAGAAGGTTGTAAAAGGTGTGCAGGCGACCTCGTCGGACGCAGCTGTAGCTGCCTCCCGCCTGTTTCGCATAAAAGCCGTTTTGACAGCGAGCATTAGCTGTCAAACGGCTTGATACCCTTCCCCCGGGCATAAGGGGATCGGTGAGCTGCCCAGGGTAGGAGTTGAGTTCCCGAGTCGTCCGATGTGGACGATGTAGGTTAGAACTCCTCCGGAGCCCCAAGGATTCTCCGCGATCCAGGACGCCTTCGCCTCGGCGAAGCTAGAAGCCGCCACCACCGCTGCAACTTAAATTTAACTGTGAGTGACTATACACAGACAAACCGACCCTGGAAGTTTGTTTCCTACTTTGGACTCTACTCTAACTTGAGTTATTTTGATCTTCCCTATACTTGGGTTGGATTGTGTGAAAGTGAACTTAAAATGGCGATGAATGATACTTTCTAGCAACAAGAAGTGAAAGTGACCTGGATTTCCGGTTTGGAACTTTTGTTACTTTTTATACTTTCACTAC